GGGGGGGTTGGGGGGGGGGGGGAGGGACAGACAGGGAAGGCACTGGCCTTCTCAGCCTCCTAAATGTAAAGACTGTGGTGTTAATCCTGAAGTCTCTACTTCACCTTCACTTCCCTTGGTGACTTAAAAAAAAAAAAAAAAAAAAAAGCTAATCTGTAGAAGACCATAAATAACCTTCCCAAGAACAGAAATTCATGCCCAAAGAAGGAAAACGTATTTTCACACGCTGAGTTTATTTGCTTGCGTATGACATTTAGATTTGACTGGAATTTAAAAATTGCCACCTCTTTCTCTAACAGGAAAGAAAGTATTTAAAAAATTTAAGTACAGTTATTAATCAAGTGCCATTTGGGGGACTAGATGTGGAAAGGGGGGGTGCTAAAAATAGTCAGAATGAATGTATTCATCACAAATCTAGGAATGAAGCAATATTGGTTTTAGATAAAATTCTGTTCAAAGTTTTCAGTCTTAGTTAATGAGAAAGGCAAGGATTTTTGTGGGGGATATTTTTTATTGAAGCAACTGCTTGGTTGGGATAGACTTAGACAAGCTTCTGAATACAGGGCATTCTTCAGGTTCGAGCTGAAGGCAATTATAAGCTAAAGTAACTGAAAAGTATATCAGAATATTTCTAAGACCTATAGTCAGCACATTGTTTAGTCGTTAGTGCCAAACATACCAAGAATTTCAAATCTCCCACTGTTTTATGGCAACTCATCCATCTTCATCAGTGTCAGAATAATATTAAATTACCCATTACTAATTTCTGACATTTCTCAAGAAAAGCCTACCTAGCAAATATTAGTAAATAACAACAGACTTACACAAATGGCTTCTGCTCATTAAAAACAATTTTTATAATTTTTAACTTTTTAAAATTTTTATGAAGCTTTTATAATCAAGCTTGTCAGCTTCTATACAACTTCCTGCCAAGTCAATTTCAATTATGTTACATGAAGTTGGGAAAAGCACTTCTGTGTCAGTCGGGTTGGTATTCCTTTGTTCAATCTGTTTTAACATAAGCCCAGATGTTTTGTAAGAAACTGTTTTTGAGAAGCCCTTATGAAAACAGATGTGTCCCACTGGTAAAGTGCAAAAATGAAAGCGACTAAGTTATATTTTGAAAGCCAAATATCTAACATGTTTCCAACATTGCTCATTAGAGCCATACAGAAGATCATGAGTTAGAATCAATGTAATACTGTTTGTTTCGCCATGTTTTTTTGGAAATATCACTTTATGCTAAAATTGAACAGTCACTGTCGTCAGCCTCATTTCACAAGTCTATGGAAGGCAAAGCCAAGAGTGCATAAGTGGATTTGTCATACTTGAAAAAGGTGATATCTGGGACCAACCTTGATTTTAAACTGATGATAAAGATAAAAGGAAAGCATGTATAATTAAGAGGAGACTAAAACTCAATGATGTTTCACAAGGACCTACATATTTCGGTTTTATGACAGGAAAAAGAACAAGGGGCTACACAGGCTAAGTGTAACTGTAACGCATGCAAAAAATAAATACATAGTAGATACAGGGATGTATTAGTAGAAGTATCATATACAAGTCATATGAAGCAATTCTTTCACTGTGTTCATTGCTAAGAGCACATCTGAAATCCAGCATCCAGTTTTGTGCACTGCACTTCAAGAAAGATGGGAAAAAATTGAATTAAGAGTCCAGCAACAAAAGTAACTAGAGGTCTAGAAAACATGATGTATGGGGGGGGCGGGAAATCAGGATTATTTTGTTCAGGAAAGAAAAAACTGAGGGGAAATTTCATTTTTGTATTTGACAACAAAAAGGTTGCTATAAAAAAGGAGGGTATTTTTTTTGTCTGTGCTCCACAGGCAGTGTAAGTAGTAACAGCCTTAAGTTATAACACTAAAGATTTAGGTTAGAATCAGTTTTCCCTAATATCC